GGCTCCATGTTGGAACTCCCATTTCAATTGGAACTCCCAATGCAATCAGGAGAATTGGACTCCGGGGGGCGCTGCTTCCACAGAACCAAACAATGGCCACAGAAATGAGTCCGGTCTTTCCCAGTGCTTCAGCTGGAGAGTGGCTTTAACATTTACTTTGTCCTCCGCTGTCATGCTTCACTAGGATTGCAAAACACTTTACAAGCAGATACGAACATCTCCTCGCAACGCCGCGTGAGGTGGGCAAGGTCGTTATCCCTGTTGTATAGATGGGGAAACTGAGGCACCGAGCGGTGAGTTGGCCAAATTCATAATGGTGCCAGGAACAGACTCCATATCTCCTGGTTGACCAGTCCTAGTGCCCTAACCACTACACGAGGCTACCTCCCCTTTCCTCACTGGTGTTTTTGGTTTTAGATAACCTTACATTTTAAAATGCACCAGCCCCAGCATCCTTACAGGGGCCTCCTCTTGCTCCTGGGCAGGGAATAGCAGCAGCAAACAGGTTACATTTGTTTCCTTTAGAATCAAGGGTTTGACCTGGAAGTGTGAGCAGAGTCTGCAAGCCAGGCCCCTCAGAGCTGTCTCCACACAAAGGGGAAGCCCAGAGCTGTCTCCCGCAACAGGGAATCTGGAAAAGTCACGCTAAGTCTGAGCAAGAATCCTTGGGTTGGGTCGTCCTTGGGACTGTCCAACTCAAACCTGCTCTCCTCACCAGCTGCCTCATGGCCGCTTTGTGTTAGAGGCAGAATTTCATTGGCCTTTTGTCCATTGAGCGATGAGTTTCTTTTGTGATGGGAAGATTTGGGCCAAAGTTCTCTGAAGTGGCCTCTGATTTTGGACGCCTGACGTGAGACTCTTCACGCCTGATGTTCCCATAGTGGGGAGGGGAGAGCAGTAGTGGGAGAGGGAATGTAATCCGTGGCATGGCTGACTCTAGGGAGAAGGGGATGTCATGAGTAACCCCAGCAGAAGGTCTGGGACCTTGTTACCTGCCTGGATAATTGCATTGAGAAGAGAAAGGGGAGGGTGGTTGTGCCCAGGTGGGGAAGGGGAAGCCTGTTGCATGGCTGGCTGCAGTGACGGCAGGATATGAGAGCAGCTTTGCCTGGGAGAAGGACTGTGCTGACGGGGAAGGTCTGGGCCCCTTTCGCATAGCTGATCGAAATGAGGCAATGCACAAGCAAGGGCTGCAAACTCCACAGAGAGCTGACCCTAGCCATGTGTGGCGCGTGGGCTGGTTTGTTTCAGAGAACACGTGTAGAAGCGTAGCATTGGTATAAAGTGGGGCTTGCGCATGGCACATCTCCTCTGAGGGTTTGCACTGGCATAGCTACATTGGTGCAAAAAACCTTAGACTTCACTAGAAAGCACTTCACACTAAATGGGGAGGATTTATATACAAGACGACAGATGCTCCTCTGTGAAACGCTTATTTCCTTCCCTGCCAGAGGCCCTGGAGAGCTGGACTGTGCATGTCGCTGTGCCCACCATTTTAATGAAGGAGCAGCTGTACGTAGCGACTTGGATTCCAGCTCTATTTATGAGATACTACGGAGTCTGAGAACAGACTGAGGACAGTTTTTCTGGAGACCTCACCAGCTTCTGAAGATCTGTAGTGAGGGTGTGTGCAACAACGTGAGGGATCACACTTAGCCATTCCTGGGGTTGTTAGTGAGAGGGGATCCGGCGAGGGTGCAGCCTTCCAGAGGAGATCAGGTGAACCCGGAATCTGACCATCTTTAGGGATATATAGTTAGGAAGTGTTGGGAAGCCTTGCTCTTTGGGAAAGTCATTCCACCATAAGTGACACTTACAATTCAGACACCCCTTTTGGTCCCGATCATCTACCAACTCCCCCCCAAAAAACCAAACCAAGCACAGTTTAGACCCCAAAGAGGGAGAAATGCTAAAGACTCCATGAAGTTTGCTATTGCTATTGATTTTACGTGGAAGAAGCTCAGATACTATGATGTTGGGCAACCGTATAAAACCCTAAGGTAAATAGATCATAAATGACACCCTGACTGATGTCTGTGCTGTGCTGACTAATCTGTGGACGTTAACAACACCCCCTTGACGTGCAATAATGCAACAGGATCTGAAAACAAGGACACTGACTCTGTTACCAGGGCCGGCTCCAGGGTTTTTGCCGCCCCAAGCAGCGCAAAAAAAAAAAAGGGCCCCGATCGCGATCTGCGGCACTTCGGCGGCAGCTCTACCGCCGCCTCTTCGGCAGCAATTCGGCGGCTGGTCCTTCGCTCTGAGAGGGACTGAGGGACCCGCTGCCGAATTGCGGCCGAAGAGCCGGATGTGCCGCCCCTCTCCCTTGGCCACCCCAAGCACCTGCTTGCTGGGCTGGTGCCTGGAGCCAGCCCTGTCTGTTACGATCTGGGATGTGCACTGCTAACTCTTGTGACAGGTGTTTTGATGATCTTGACAAATTGGAGAAATGGTCTGAAATAAACAGGCTGAAATTCAATAAGGACAAATGCAAAGTACTACCCTTGGGACGGCGTAATCAATTGCATAAATACAAACTGGGAAGTGACTGTCTAGGGAGGAGTACTGCAGAAAAGGATCTGGAGATTATAGTGGATCACAAACTAAATATGAGTCAACACTGTAATACTGTTGCAAAAAAAGCAAACATCATTCTGGGCTGTATGAGCAGGAGTGTTGTAAGCGAGATACGAGAAGTAATGCTTCCGCTCTACTCCAGGCTGATAAGGCCTCAACTGGAGTACGGTGTCCTGGTCTGGGCACCGCCCTCCACAAATTGGAGAAAGTGCAGAGGAGAGCAACAAAAATTACGAAAGGTCTAGAAAACATGATCTCCATGGAAATATTGACAAAATTGTTTAGTCTGGAGAAGAGAAGACTGAGGGAGGACATGATAACAGTCACCCTGTATGTAAAAGATTGTTATAAAGAGGAGGGTGATGAATTTTTCTCCTTATCTACTGAGGACAGGCCAAGAAAAAATGGGCTTGAATTACAGCAAGGGAGGTTTAGGTTGGACAGTAGGAAAAACTTCTTTACTGACAGGGTAGTTAAGCCCTGGCACAAATTAGCTAGGGAGGTTGTGGAATCTCAGTCACTGGAGGTTTTTAAGAACAGGTTAGACCAGTGATCAGACCTCAGAGTCACAGTAGTGTGAATTCATTGTTTCATTTACTACACCTCTACCCCGATATAACGCTGTCCTCGGGAGCCAAAAAATCTTACCGCATTATAGGTGAAACCGCGTTATATCGAATTTGCTTTGATGCGCTGGAGCGCGCAGCCCCACCCCCCTGGAGCGCTGCTTTACCATGTTATATCTGAATTCATGTTATATCGGGTCGCATTATATCGGGATAGAGGTGTATTTATATATATATATATATATATGATTCTCACAGCAAAATGACAGACCCAGTATTATTATTTTATCACCTACAATTGGTTAATAACATAGTAAAAGCATTCTGATTGGTTAAGAACTTAGATTGGTTAATAATTCAATCACATGGTGTTTTAATATCATGTGCTGCAAAGAGCCGCAGGAGACACATTAAAGAGCCACTTGCAGCTTGTGAGCTTCAGTCTGAGTATCACTGGGTTAGACACCACCTGTCAGGGATGGTCTAGGTCAGGGGTTCTTCGCCTGGGGTGCGAGATGCCCTTTCTGGGGGTGCGAGACAGGCCAGATTTTTTTAGAAGGTAAATCATCGAAAACACAAATTAAGCACAGGCACATAAGTACAACTACTTTGATTCATCAAACCTATGTATTTATTAACATTATACATTTTTTAACGATTACTGTAATATACAAACAAAAATATATCTAGGTTTAAGGGGTGCGAGAACATATTTTTTAGGTTTAAGGGGTGCGAGAACATATTTTGAGAACCAAAGGGGTGCAGACCGCAGTAAAGGTTAAGAACCACTGGTCTAGGTGATACTTAGTCCTGCTTCAGTGCAGGGGATAGGACAAGATGACCAGTCGAGGACCTTTCCAGTCCTACATTTCTAAGATTCTGTGATCTCCAAGTATTTACCAAGGTGAATCCATTTTAGAGAGAGGGAAGCCCATGGTCACGCACTGAGACAGTGGCTGGGTATAGAATCCAGGAGTTTCTGATTGCCAGCCTCTGCGTGAACCAGTAGGACACGCTCCCGGATATGCAGTCAGCAAGGACAGTGTTTGCTTTAATATTTAGAGTGAGGATGCGATGTTTAGCCACACTCTGTTAGTAATAATACTTTGTACTTTTACAACACATTCCATGTAAGGATCTCAAAGCACTTTACTGACTTAAACTCTCACGATCCCCCTGCAATGAGCTGGTAGGCCAGTCGTACTTATTCTCATTTTACAGGTGGGGAAACCGAGGCACGGAATGTCAATGGTGAGCGTGTGTTACAGATGCCAGAGCTGCAGAGGCTACCTGTGACAGCCCCTGCTCAGGGACCTTGCTTCTTTAGCTCAACTTGTAGCCGCTCCTGCTCTGCAAGTCCTCCTTTCCGTGCCGGGCGCGTCAGCCGAGATAGCAGGTGTTGTATTAGTGACTCGCCCATGATCAGATGCGGAATCTGATGGCACTTGGAGCTCCTAGCACCCAGTCCTGCCCTCTGCCCACTAGGGAACACTCCCTCAGTGGCCAGGGCCGAGGTAAACAACCTACTGTGGGTCTGTGCCTTTAAGAGAGTCAGGAGACAGCCTGGGGGAACAGGGTGTGTAAGCCTGTTGAATCAGTGAGACTGGGGGGTTGGAGGCTGGGCAGAGCTCTGAGCTGGGTTGCTAAGAGCTTGGAATTCCCCGTGGGGAGGGGAGCAAGGGTCCTCCAGAGGGGGCGGGCCTCTCCCTGCTGAGCGACAGGCAGCTGCACCAACCCCAGAGCCGGCTGGGAGTTACCTGGTGGGGCTGCCTCAGCTCAGGTGTGTCCGGGAGTCCTGCCCCTGGACAGACTTTCCGGGAACAGGGAAGTCCCAGCTGGGGAGCAGAGCTGGGCATGGAGCCCATCGGCGCCTGGAGCCCTGTGCAGGTGGTGCAGTGGCTGAGAGGTGAGTGGGGCGGGGTGGCAGGTCCAGGGCTGGCAAAGTTTGTATGGGGGGGGGGGTGCTGAGAGCCATTGAACCAAACTGTAACGTAAACCCTGTGTATGATGGAAACCACTTCAAGCCAGGGGGTGTGGTAGCACCCCTAGTTCCAGCACCTATGGCCAGGGGGTGCACTCCAGCCCCTCGGGCAGGCAGGCGGCTGCCCGCTCCCAGGGCAGAGTCTGCGCTGGCAGGAGGAGCTGTGCAAGTGCTGCTGGGAGCAGGAGCGACTGAAACCTTCTGGGGGCTCTGGCAGAGGCGGGTTACACTCCTGCTGGCATGGCGTGGCTGGGCACGGCCCGGATCCCTGCCCTGGGGGAGGAGAGACGTTCCTGGGGGAGGATATACAGTCCAATGCAGGGAGGTGCACATACTGGCGGGGTGGATATGCAGCCCCATGGGGACCTGCCAGTAGGGAGGAAGCAGATCTGGCAGCCAGGGAAGGTAACTGGTGTTACACACTTGGTGGGATGGGGAAGAAGGTAGATCGGAGGTTCTGTTCTCCCAGTCTCCTGACACGAGGACAAGGGGCCAATCAGTGAAACAGAAAGAGGACAAACTCAAAACCGACGCAAGGAAATATTTTTTCACACAGCACGTAGCTAGACGGTGGAACTCCTTGCCACAGGATGCGTCTGAGGCCAAAACCTTAGCAAGACTCCAAAGGGGTTTGGATGCATTTGGTGGATAACAAGAAATGTCTGGAGTTAGACGAGTTAATGCTATTCTGGAAGGGCTGTTAAAAGTCATGCTTCAGGGCTTAAGCCCAGGTGAAGGCGAGAGGACAGGAAGGCCTGGCAGAGCTGTCAGCAGAGGGGGAATCCAGGCTGAGGTCTGGACATGGGCGATCTGGGAGCAGCTGCCTTTGCCCCTTTCAGGCCTGGACAAGGCGCTGCAGCAGTATCCCTTTGAGACGTGGTCCCTGAGCGGGAACGATTTGCTGCAGCTGTCCTATCGGCGCTTGGAGGAACTGGGCCTGAGGCGTGTTGGCCATCAGGAGCTCATTCTGGAAGCTGTGGAGCAGCTGTGCGCGCTGGTGAGTGAGGCTGTGAGGCTGGAGTGAGGCCCTCTCCCGATCTGCGGTGAGCGACGGTGTGAGGGTTCCCTCCCGGCGTCTGACCTGCAGTCTTGCTTCCCAGAGGGGGGGAGCTCGGGGTTTCGGGGGAGGGGGGGGTGGGGGATCCTGCCCCCCCCCCAGGCAGTATCAGGGAGCAGCACAGAGTTGGGGGGTCTGCCATCCACAGCCTTCGTTCTGAGCCGCTCCAGGGTGAGCTCGTTTGGATTGTTCTCCAGAACTACGAGCTGGAGACCACCAGCCTGGGGACACTGACGGAGAAGCTGCAGCAAGTCGCTCGGACCACCCAGACCCTCATCCTGAGCCGCAGGAAGGTGACCGCGTATGATGGAGAGGCCATCGAGACGCCCTCCCCGGACCTCCTGGCCTGCGTCGCTGAGCTGATCACGGCGGCCAAGGGGCTCTTCTCCTGGCTCAACAGGTACTTGCTCCCCCAGTCTGCAGAGGCCAGGGAAAGCACCTGGGGAGGCTGGAAGGCCAGGGCCATGTAAGGAGGGATCCCACATGATGAGGAAGGGTATCGCCGAATGGCACAGGGCGCAAGCTACAGGCCTTCTGTGTCTGTGGGGTTTGCACACACACTCTTTACAGAGGCGGAAAGGGACGCCGGACCAATGCTGCCAGGACTGGATGCAAGGCAGCCAGTCTCCCTGGCCAGAGGAGGATGGTCTGTTAGCCCAGAGGGACGAGGCTCCATTCAGGGACTGGGGACGGGAGGGCGGTGCTGTGACCACACTATTCTTGGTGATGGTGAAAACAGCAGCATGCCAGCCCGGAGCCTTCTGTGCAGAGAACGGGCACAGCATGGGCAGTGGCTGGACAAGGATCCCCTGCCCATGTGCCTCTGCCCTGGAGGGACCCCCTCTTGCAGCCAGAGGGGAGTTCCGTCTCCACAGCCTGCTCGCTCCTTTGCTGAGGTGGCTCTATGGGGTGTGGACAAGATTGAGACTCCCACCTTGTTCCACGCAGGCCATTGAGCGCCCGGCAGCTGCCCACTGCAGGCGATTAGCTCTGTGGTCAATTGGGACCCCTTCAGAAAGCACCATAAAACCCTGGAAGCTTCCTCGCTTGTGTTAAGCCCCTGGCCCACGGGGAGGACGGTGCCTCGATTAACTTGAGGCTCATTGGGCCCTCTCCTTTCCTGCCTTTCTTTGACCTGACGACTGTCTCACTCCCGCACCTCACAGGTATCTCTTCTCTCACCTGAATGATTACTCAGCCAGCCGGGACATTGTCTCGCTCTGCGGAGAGCTGGCCCAGATCCTACAGAAGGTCAGTAACGAGGGTTTTAAAAATCCCAAGAAACCAAAGCCAGACTGTGGCAGGGTTGGCGTGTTTGTGTGTTACCCCTGAGATGTGCAGATAAGGGCGACGTCTCTTCAGTACTCATGTCATGCCGGGATGTCTCAGGACCTAGGAAGTGAGAGTAGGAGGGGCAGAAAAGGATGGCTGTCCAGATACCATGGTGATGGGCACAATGTAAGGACTGACCGACACTCACATGCCACACACGCTTTTTTCTCACTAGCAAACAATCAGTGAGATGTTTCCCAAAACTTCATCAGGGATCTCCATCCAGAATGTTCCTCCTTGGCTGATGAATACCCCCATATCCCAGGAGAGTGTGAGCTCCTAGCGGGACTGGCGAATCTATTTATTTGTTCTTATTTCAATTCAAAACATTTTCTCGTTGTCTCGGCACCCTGCTTGAGCAGCAAATATCCTGGCCGCTGTCCATTTAACCATTGTGTTAAAACTGTGTTATTAGCCCCTTGGATTTTAAAGCTTTTCTTTCCCATACTCTAATTTGTCCCTCTTTGTTTGTGCATCTCCCTCAGCTCAGAGACTGAAAATTGCTCGTGTCTGTTTCACGTTTGTTTCAAAGTCAGTTGCATTTTGGGGCAGTCCCCTGCTGCAGTGTTTTGTGAGGAATGCTTCAGGCAGATGTTGTTGTTTAATAATGTGTGTTTTCATTACAATTTAAATCTAGACTGGAGACCTTCCTGTTGCTCTTAGTGTGTCCAGACATCTAATCGTTGGGCCACTTCTGAACAGACAAGTGAACCTTGCACTGGTTCTACAGTATATTTTTCAGGGATAAAGCTGAGTGTATTGATAGACTAGCCCAATGTCCAATTTGGAGCTTGTCGCTTATAGAGGAACCCAACCATATCCTTCTGCATTATGATTTGTATTCGTGCAATATGGTTCATTTCATAGGCAAACGATTTGTCCTTCCAAAGTGTTTTTATCAGATGCGGGGCACTGTCCCCTCAGGCAGGGATGGGCTAGCGGGTAGCTGAGTTAGATGAATGGATATTGGTGGAAGGATGGAGACTGTTTAAAAGAAGGAATCTGACTGGAGATAATAAACTGTCAGCTGATGGAACAGATAACCATACCCTGCCTTTCAATAGCACCTTTTCCCTACAGTTCTCAAAGTGCTTTACAAACACGAATGAAGCCCTATTAAATAAGTCAGGGTCACCCACACGTGTATATGGGGAAACTGAGGCACGGAGATGAACTGACTTACACAATGTGTCAGAGCTAAAATGCCTGAATCCTGGCTCCTAGTCTCCTGCTCTAACCACTAGAGTCATGTCTATAAGCAAGTCGCTGCTGTGGGGGGGGGGTCGGAGGGGTGGTATTTGGGTCATGGGAAGGAGTGCTGTTAACTACCTTCATCCTCCAGTTCTCCTCTGTTCGCTAGTCTTCTGCAGTGCTCCTTCATCTTGGATTCGCAGGTTGCGAGAGGGTAAAAGCAGACTCGGGTCTCGGCATGCCTTCTAGCCAGCAATGCCTTTGTAGTCCACAGGGCCCAATGGTGTCCCAAGTATGTTTTGACTCCTCTAACAACTCCTTGGACCCCAGCAGGGCTCTCCAGCTAGAGTAGAAAGTTACCAGCAAGAGGTACCAGTGCTGCCCGTTCAAATCCTAGGCATGCGCCTTGCCTTCAAGAACCCAATTTAGGGGCAAGTCCATGGGGACCCTGGGGAGCCCATCAAGGAAGGGTCAGGGAGGGACTGTAGGTTTTAGTGTTGCAAGCACGCTGTGAAGGCTTCCTGGAGAGAGGTCTGGAAGTGGAGAGACCGCGCTTTGCCTGGAGTGTATGCGATCTGGTCACCTGAGCCCGCGTCGGTATCTATCTCGGGAACGGCCTCGCTTTACAGAGAGGTTATGGCAGTGATTCAAAGCTGGCCGAAGGGGCGCGAGTACCTGACTTGCCCGGGGAAGGCTCGGTGCCTCTGAGGTACTGCCCAGGGGGACAAGGGCAATAGGAGATGAGAGCCATGGATGGGTGCATCCGCGATCGGACCCTTGGCTTGGCACAGTTCAGTCAGCTGCAAAGAGGGGAAGGGAAAGAGAAAATGACCAGAGTGTGAGCAGGGAAGGGACCAGGAGATAAACAACATCAAAGGGGGGGTGGGGAACTGTTCTTTATATAACCCTGTGATTCACCCTTTGGGATCAGGTTCCGGGCTGGGGGGAGCTCAGTTGTCCATGAGACTCAGCTGAGCGAAAGGGAGGAGAGAGACTAACAGGCTGAGCCAGAGATTCGGGGGAGGCTGCTCGGCTGAGCCACAGGTACTGGGAGCTAATAATTCCCTGAAGATCCTGGCCTGCTCAGGGGGGAATGCGGCAGGAGAGGGCGTGTCTGGAATGGGCTCTGGGGGAGGCTTCTCCGGCTTTGGAAACAGGGTCTGGAAGCGAGGAAGGGAAGGGTAGTTGTGAGATGGGGGAGGGGAGACTGTGACATGGAGAGAGATGGGAAAGGAGGCTCAGGGAAACCTTAATGGTTTGTAAATGGGGGGTGGAGGGCAAGGGGACAGGGTTTGGGGGGGCAGGGGCAGGAGAGGGGGCGGGGGGCCGGGGGACAGGATCTGGGGGAGCGGGGGCAGGAGAGGGGGCGGAGGGCTGGGGGACAGGGTCTGGGGAGGCAGGGGCAGGAGAGGGGGTGGAGAGCCAGGGGCAGGGTCTAGGGAGATGGGGCAGGAGAGGGGGTGGAGGGCCAGGGGATAGGCAGGGCCGGCACAACCCATTAGGCGACTTAGGTGGTCGCTTAGGGCGCTACAATTTGCGGGGCGGCGACCGCGGCAGTATTTCGGGGGCGGGACCTTCTGCCGCCTAGGGCGGCAGAAAAGCTGGCGGCTCTCCTGGGGACAGGGTCTGGGGGAGCGGGGGCAGGAGAGGGGGCAGAGGGCCGGGGGCCAGGGTCTGGGGGGCCAGGGTCTGGGGGGGGCAGGGACCGGAGGTGGTGGGTGTAGGGCTGTGGGGCAGGAAGAAACTGACCCTACTAATAACCTAAAAGTAGAGCCACGATCCACCAGTGCCAGCCCTGCAACAGAAGGGAGCTCAATGCCGAGGCTGTGCTAACTTGCTGCGGTTCACCCCTTCCTCTGCCATGCTAAGCAGAGAGGTCCCTGCCATTGTGCCCTGGGGGGTGGATTCCTTTCTGATCCCAGCTCCGGAGATTGGTGTAACTCTGTGTGTGAGCAAGAATGGCCTCCGTAAGGCATCTCTCGCCCATTACCCCCGTTCCCCATCCCATAACAATGGATTCTTCTCCCTTCGGGAGGGGGCAGAGCCTTCCAAACACCGACTGCCCTGTGGACAGATACCCCTGTGTGCCTAACCCAGTGGCTGCCCCACATTCTAGCCGTGTGTGCGGCCTGGCTTGTTTCCCATGCCCAGGGTGTTTTCCCCACTCCCATCCCCTGGCATTCTCCTCTTGTTGAGTCTCTCTGACTTTCTAGTGAAATTCACAAGAAGAGGCTGGAGTTGTGGCCTCGGGGCCTCATCCAAAGCCCCTGGAAGCCGAAAGTCGTCTCTCAAAGGTCTGTCCTTCGAGCGAGGAGTCCCTCCGACAGCACTGCCCGCTCCTCTGCTCCTGGATCCTTTCTCCATTGCTGTACGGGGTCGTGTGAGGGCTCAGTGACTCCCCAGACTGACTGTGTCGGGGAGTCATGTGCTGCCTGGGACGGTTGTGCTCTGGCAGAGTACCCGTCTCTGGGAGCGTGAGCACCGTCAGCCGACCTGCAGGGCCCAATCCCCCTGTCTGTAGAGGAAGGGGTGATAGTGCCTCTCCACAGCGCCTGGCCTCAAGGATCCCAATGTGCTCTCTAGGCCTAGATGTGATCGGCCAGGCCTTCCCTCCCCCAAACACCGGCTTCCCTGCCACATGCAGCCGCTCTCTGGGAGGAGCCAGGCGGCGCTGACGGGAAGGAGTGAAGAATGGCGTCTCCATTGGAGACAGCTGGAGGAGTTGAGGCTGGTGGAATGTAACAACCTGCTCTGGAAGCTGGCCAGGGCGCCGGGGTTAATCCTGCTACTGCGCTTAAAAACCAGGGCTGAGGAGTCTTTCATGACTGCACAGCCTCAACCTTACGTCTCACCTGGAGGCCGGCGGCACGGCACCCCCTAGCACAGGGCGGGGGCATTGGGAGAGGAGCCACCAGCACCACTACTGGGGCTGTGTTACGTGATTCCCCCATCCATGTGAAGCTGGATCAGCCTAATTTATCGCGTGTCTCTTGTTCTTCTAGGACTGCACAGTGTCTGAGAGAGAGAACCAGATCCTGCTGATTGTAAGTACGTGTGTGTGTGTGTGTGTGTGTGTGTGTGTGTGTGTGTGTGTGTGTGGATTCAGTGCAGAAGAACACATATTGGGGTTTGCCTGAGGTCGCTGCTGCCCTTCTGTAGAAGCCGTGAGGACTTGGCGGAATGAGTCTCTCCCGCTGTCCTTCAGTGCAGGCACCTCGCGGGGATCTGTGAGAACATCTCGAGCTGCAGCCCGGCAGCCCTGCTGAACCAGACCGCCATCTTGGAGAGCGTGGACCTTGTGCCCACCGAGCCAGAGGACAGTCTGGTGAGTCCGCTTCTCCGCCACAATCCTCGCCTCTGCCTCTGGCTCACGCTGGGGACTCGTTTGACGCTTCCAAACTCTGTCTCTCCCTCTCTGCAGGGCATCGAGATCAAATCCACCAACTCCTGCCTCCACTTCATAGCGGGAACCGCCACTGAGGTGAGAGATTTGGGGGAGGGGGAGATGGCTTCTGATTTGGTCTTTCCAGCCTGCAGGTGCAGGGAGACGGCTCAGAACTGGTGTCCCAACGTATCCCCCTTCTTAAACCGTCCTACGCTGGCCCATGATGAGCAAAATCTAGTTTGAGTATCAGAACCCCCTGGGCTTGTTAAGGTGCTAAACCCTCTTCCTGAACCAGCTCTAGGACACGGGACTTGGCTGAGTCCTTCCAACTCCGCTGACTTGTGGCCGTGTGTCACACTAACCTTGGCCAAGGCTTCAGTTGTCTCCTCATGCCTGTGATCCAACAGGAATTACCCAAAAGATCAGGCCTGCAAGTTAATGGTTAATCCCCCTTTCCTGAGCCCCTCTGACTTACATCAGCCTGAGAGCTGCTTAACTCTGATTAGGCTCAAGCCACTTGCGCTGCTGCCTTTCTCAGCTTCCCAGCAAGCACGGTTCTGACTCCGCTCGGTCTTTTCCTTGCCTCTCCTCCTAGTCTCCAGCTGACCACTGCAGCCAGATCCTGCCGGGGGATGAGATCGTTCAAGTCAACGGGCAGGTGGTGGTAAGTATGGCCCCTTCCTCGCTCCCGTTAGCATGCTGGTCTCTTGGGACAGCCAAAATCCTACCAGGAAGGGAGGCCTCTGAATGTAGCTGCGATCATGGCTGATGTGTATGGTCTGCCCTGGGGAAGAACGTCACACTCGGTAGAGGGTGCGGCATGACCTCTGGTTAGAGTGGGGGCTTTGGGTTTTAGTCCTGACTCGCTGTGTCACCTTTGGCAAGTCACTTTCGTTCTCTCTGGGTCTGGTGGGGCTCCCCACGTGCAAGGCTCTTTCCCAATAGAAGGTGTGATTCCCTGCCCCGAAGGGATCAGGCTAAAACTCACTTAGACTCTGGGCCTCCTGACAAGGGGATCATGCTGGCTCCCCCTTTATAAAGGGCTCTGAGGTCCTGGGATGACAATGCAACGTATCCCTACTCATGTTTACTAAGACTGGCTGGTTCCCACTTAATCGCTCTGGACCCTCTTGGCTGCTGGAGTCTGTATGACCCAGATGCCGCTGGGATGCTAGCATGGCTAGCCTGGTGCTAGCTCTTTTCTCTTTCCTCCGTCCCCTCTTTGCTCTTTGACTCACATCCTGCATGGAGGAGAAGCAAACGCCACCAAAGCCTGGCTTCCACCCCCTCACCCCCCTTTCTAAACACAAGCACATGGCCACGCCCAGGAAACAGGTAGAATCGCTGTAAGGAACCCGGGTGTTTCTGCCCTGACTCTGTCGAACCACATGCTCGACAGACTGAAACCAGAAGAGAGGGGGAGGAAAGGAGGGTTTCAGGCTCTGTCTCAGCTCTCCACGCGCTTACAACCATCAGTTAATTTAGCCTCATAAAATCTCGACTGCCCACCCAAGTGGGGTCAGAATCATTCTCTCCACTTGACAGTGAAGCATCTGGTTAGGTGGGCGACTGTTTGCTCGAGCTGGTCGGAAAATGGGTCTTTCCCTGTGGGAAGAAAGGTTGACTTTTCAGCAAAAAAATCAAAACCTGAAATAACTGGGTTCAGCAATGGTGCTGCGGTACCTCCTGGGAGTTGTCGTTTGGGTGCTCATGCTCCCATTCTCCTCTAACTGGGCTCCCTGGCTGGACTGTAGCTCCCATGATGCACCAGTCTCACCTCTTGGGGAGAGCAGATGGTGCCTGATGAGCGTCCCTGGGTGTGATGCAGCATGGGATATGTAGTCTGGCTGGAAAGCCCAGCTTATAGAGGAGAACAGGGAGATGAAGAAGCTGGACTACAACTCCCATGAGGCACCACGAAGGTCTATCCAAAATGAAATGTTTCAGTATTTGAACAAAACCTGAACTCTTTATGGGCATTCAGGTTTGCAGCAACAATAAAACCGATTTCCACAGAAATCCGATACTTAGTGTAAAAATTGTTCCACTGAAAACCAGTTTTCCTGGGGACAGGTTTCAGAGTGGTAGCCGTGTTAGTCTGTATCAGCAAAAAGAACAGGAGTACTTGTGGCACCTTAGCGACTAACAAATTTATTTGAGCATAAGCTTTCATGGGCTAAAGCCCACTTCATCGGATGCGTGCAGTGGAAAATACAGAAGGAAGATAGATACACAGAGAACATGAAAAAATAGGTGTTGCCATACCAACTCTAATGAGACTAATTGATTAAGGTGGGCTATTATCAGCAGGAGAAAAAAAAATGTTGTAGTGATAATCAAGATGGCCCATTTCAAACAGTTGACAAGAAGGTGTGAGCATCCTGCCGACCCTTTGACAGGGAGGATGGCCAGCTGGCTGGCTGCAGGCTATTAGCTGAACGTGTCTCTGCCTGGCCGGTGGTGCTGCAGAAATGGACAGTGAAACGAGAAGGGTGTGGATGACTAGCTTACGAAACTGCATTGATGGCCAGGTGTTTAACTGGTTGGTAGCATTGTGTGGAATCCCTGGTTACTGGGCGGTAGTAATAAGTAATAAGGAGGCACGGTGGGATTGCTGCCGGCTAGCTGGATGTCTTGTGAAGTGCGCGGTTGCCGAATCGTGGTTCTGGTGACTATAGATTCCCTTGCGCACCATGGAGCTGTAATCAAGGCAGGTGTCTAAACCCTGACCATCGATTGTACCAGGTGCCCAGGGAGAGAAACATCCCCTTTCTGAAATCCTGTGGTAGTGGTGCTCGTGGCCTTGCCAGCTGACGGAGCCGTGTAACAGAGTAGAATGACCTGCGGAGTTGCCTGTTTCAAACAACCCATTCAGTGCAATTCGGCCTGTGCTGGCGATGAGCACTGATCTGCTAATCCCATGCGTAGGTGGGTTGGACTCGAGTGAATCTAGTGAAGAAAATACTCGAAAAGCCAAACCAGGTGACGTTGGTGCTGAAGAAGATTCCACTAACCTCTGTGGAGTCCCCGTGTTCCCCCAGGTCTCCGTGCCATCAGGTAAGCAGGACCCGGTACCCGCACACCCCCAGCATGAGAACTGAACCTTCACTTGCTGTGCCGAATAGGCAGTGACTGGCTAGGAACCCAGTTGCGCTGGGCTCAGCGCATGCGTTCGGAGATGGATCACATGGCCGTCTTTGCCTGGTCCCCAGGGCTAGCTGTAGCTGCATTGGTGTCTTTTGGCGGGGGCACCAGTTCCCATCCCCACCCAGTGTGCTCCCAAATCCTCCTTGTGGTGGCTGGAGGCTCCTTTCTGGGGCTGAGCAGTTCTGCAGCTTCCCTTTCACTCCAGTCCTTATCTCGTGTCAATGCTTTTGTGAAGTGCCCGGAGTCTGGTCTGACTCCGTGCTGAAGGCATTGTCCCAGCAGCATAGAAGGGCGGTAGTAAGGTGACCCCTGCTCTGCTGTGTGTCTATTGAGCTCCAGTGGTGCGCAGGATGGAAATTCGCTGGCTGTTTTATAGGCACCTGGAAACTTCTCGGATGCTGCAGAATCTCCTGGCTTGGAAAACAATGACTCTCCAATAAGCTTGGTCTCCCTGCCTTCCAGGTAAGAGCCCAGAACCTTAATCTGAAGTGGCTTCCTGTTGCTTGTCTTCTCTGCCCTTGCCGCTGTGTTGGGAGGAGTGTCTAGTCATTGTCTGTTACCCACAGAAAGGTGGGGCGGGCAGGCAGGGACCTCAGAGGACTAGTCCAGCCCCCCGTGCTGAGGCAGAAGTAAGTAAACCTAGAACCAGCGTTTCTCAGATGTGGCCACCAGGAGCTTTTCTTGCGGCCACAACCTAAGGGGGGGAAGTAACAGCCCCTCCCTCTCCCTGTTGCTCCTGGATGCACCACCTTGTTGTTGGTTGCTGGGGCCCCCAGCAGGGGTTGAGCCCTGTCCCCCTCTGGAAACACCTGGGGCACAACGCTGGAGGAGCCGGCAGCCGGTGAGTTCCCCACCTTCCCCGGGGCGGTGGGGCTCAGGCTTTGGGCTTCCGCCCTGGGGCGGTGGGCTGGCAGTGGGGCTTTGGCCTCCAGTCCCAGGCTCCAGCTGCAAGGCAGCAGGCCCCAGACTCTAGCCCCCCGCTGCCACCCCCAGCCCCTCATCCAGGGTTTAATTTGTCCCCAGGTTTGGCAGGGCTGAGTACGTCTACTGTGAAAAGTGATACTTGTGCGTTTGTTAATTTCACTTTTCACAACACACTTACTAGCTAGCAGTAAATCTAGTACAATGATTTGGACGTGTCTATGTGCATATTTATTTGTTTTTCCTAAAGCTAATTAAGTATTTTAGGAAAAAGTGTGAGAGTGGCCACCAGCAAGAGTTGGTGGCCGCACTCTGAGGCCATCAAAACATTTGTCCGGTGAACCCCTGACCTAGACTATTGTGTTCCAAGTTCGATAGCTTTTCCTAATATCTAACCTAAATCTCCCCTGCTACAAACCAAATTACTTCTTGTCCTACTCTCAGTGGACTTGGAAAACAATTGAGCGCGGTCCTCTTTGTCACACCCTTTCAGGTGTTTGAACTCTGTTATCATGTCCCCATTAGCCTTGTCTTCTCTAGACTAAACAGGCCCAATTCGTAGGCCGGGCAAGTCAAAGACCCTGCTTCTGTAGGTTTGCTCAGGTAGACGGTAGATCTGATAAGATCACGGTCACCAGAGCAAGGTTCCTGTTTTCAACCTCACATGCCAGGGAAATTTTTTTACGTTGTTGTGAATTAGTTATAAGCAAAACTACTTGTTTCCTTAAGGATCTTCTGGGGGGAGGGGTGGGGAGGTAGAAAAGATTAAAAACATCTCTCCTCTCTCCTCCTCATCCCATTCTTCCCCAAATGCAAAGGTTCCTGTTTCCAGGGAGGAAATGTGGTCTAGTTTTTTTGGATCAGACACTGGGAGTTGGGACTCTGGGTTCCATTCCCAGTTCTGTCATAAATTTGCTATGTCACCTGGGCAAGTCACAGCACCTCCATGCCTCAGTTTCCCCATCTGGAAAAGGAGGAGGAGATGTCCCTTCCTCACAGTGGTGTTGTGGCCTTGCTAGGCAGTGATTGCCTCATGGATAGAGCCCTGGACTTCAACTCTGGAGACTTGAGTTTTATTCCTGGCTTGGCCGCTGGCCTGCTAGGTGACCTTGGACAAATCACTTTTTTTTTTTTTAAATCAGTCTGTGCCTCAGTTTCCCCATCTGGAAAATGGGGATAATTTATGAAGTGCTTTGAGATCTATGGAAGATCTAGGCAGTATTTATTCAATTTTTATCTAGAGCCAGGGGTGGCTCTATGGTTTTTGCTGCCCCAAGCACGGCAGTCAGGCGGCTTTCGGCGGCATGCCTGCAGGAGGTCCGCCGATGCCATGCCTTCAGTGTCCCCCGCCGCCGAATTACCACCAAAGCCGTGGGACCGGCGGACCTCCCGCAGGCACGCCGCCCCCCGCGGCTTGCTGCGCTGGTGCCTGGAGCCACCCCTGTCTGGAGCCTCACACTTGTTTTGCCCCACTGACTTTTCCATGAAGTAACGTTTTGCGTGGGAGAGGAAAACGATGCAGAATCAGCTCCTAGATCACACGTGTGGTGCCAAAGGTAAAAACAGCCCACGTGACCAGCACTGACAGGCGTTTCTTTGCTGAACTGAACTCTGATGAAACGCTCCCACCCACACACAACGCTGGGGCTTGCAGGGCGGCGCGATCCTGCTGAATAGCAAAAATGCTACAGGGTTAGTTTGCTGTCAAGTGCTAGTTAAAGGTTTCTCCTCCCCTGAAGCGTGATCGCCGGGCTGGACTCTGCGCTGGATCTCGCCACTGACGAAGAGGAGGCGTTCGACTCAAGCCACCCTGGAGAGGAGACCAGGGACTTCCTACAGCGACTCCCCACTGAAGGTAGGAGAGAGCAGATGCCCTCTGCATCCTGTGGAAAGCAGCAAGCCCTCCTCTGAAAGGCTTTCCACGCTGGGGTGAGCTCTGCTTGTTGCAGGCTAGTGGGACGGGATTGTGGGCAGATACTTGGCTGAGAGTCCTGTGCAGAGCAACACCGGGACCATAGGTGCTGACTCCGTGGGTGTTCTGAGGCTCAAGCACGCGTGGGGGGGAGGGGGAAATAGGGGGTGCTCAGCACCCACCAGCCACAGCTGTTCGGCAGGGCCCCAGTGCTGCCAGCAGAGCAGGGAGCAGCTGGGAGAGGGAGGGGGTGCCTTGGGTGGGGGTGGGAGGGATGGAGAAGAGGCGGGACCTGAGGCCGGAGCGGGGATGGAGCACCCACCAGGGAAAAATGTCAGCCCCTGTGACTGGGACTCCTGTTATAAATGGTCCCTGCCCCAGACACTCTGTCTGCCTCCCGTACAGCGCCATGCACATTTGAGGCCCGATCTGATCCTCTTTGTGCTACTGTAATATAAGTAAGTCAGGAAAGGGACCAAGCCGACTAGAGTCAGGGCAGGTCTAAAGAGTGCTGCCTACTGCTTAGAGCGGAGGCCTGGGCATCTGGCGTCTCTTCTTGGCTTGGCTGCTGACTCACTGTACGACTTTAAGCAGGTCCCTTAACAGCTCCGTGCCTCAGTTTCCCCATGTGCAAAACAGTGCTGATAGTACCCTCCTTGCAGGGCTCTTCTGAAACTTTCATTGACTCAGGTTCCCAGAGCCCTTGGCGATCTCCTGAGAGATTATCCACTGCGTGATATGTGCAAAGGCACTCCGCGTAGGGCACATGCAGAGCACGTGGTAACATTGATCCTGGAGGGCCAGCTTCCCCGCAGAGCTTGTTTGGTTTGCATGGCCATGGGGTGGGGGATGTGGGTTGAGACTACAGTGATCGGGTAAAATGTGGCATCGGCCATACTGTGCTTCAAGCCTTAAAGCGTAGGCCCCTTGCAAACCTCTGGGCTTGAACACCTGGAATGGCGCTCGTGTTACAGAATAAAGGCTTTAGTGGGGCCAGCGGGGGATCTGGCCCTAAATTTTTAACCCGTTGTCTGACCTCTCCGTGCAAGTGAAATACAAATCGCCACGTGGCTCAGAGGTGTTGGCGTCCCCCTGACCGGTTTGATCTTTGCAGACGCTTCAGCAGCCCCTACGTTGGAGAGCCAAGCTGTGGGGGCAGGATTTGAAGGGCGCAGCTCCCCCGTTGCTGTTGCTCCAGCCAGACCCAGCACCTTGGAACTCGGATCGAAGGAGTCCCCAGAGAACGGAATTGGGAGCAGAAGTCGGGGACCAGAATCTCCCGCTCTTCCAAACAAGGTGAGAGGAGAGCGACCGAGCCTAGGCCAGTCTCTTCCTGCGTGTCCGTACAGCGACAACCCCCTGGGCCTGAGGTGGCTGAGGCCTCTAATGCAGCACACAAGACTATAATATAAACATGGATGGGGTAGAGAAGGCCACATGGGCTCCTAATGCCCCTGCCCTGTAAGACCAGAAGGAACGCCATTAGAAATTTAAAAGGCAACAAATGTAAAACTGAGATGAGAGGG